CAATAGCTGATTGATTGTACTTTTCAGGGATAAAAATAAGGATCTAAAAATAATCTTGAGGGAGACCTCAAATGCAATATCATCCTTTTTCTACCCCCACTCAGAGGAAGCAAGGCTTACAACATCTGGACTAAATGACTTGCATTGAAAACCACAAGGCTAATCCATATAGTTCCATCATTCAAAATGTCTGTCACAATAAAAATGTGTCAACCCTTGGACCACAAACGGTGGGGAGAGTATGTACTTAGGCAGCCAATAACCTCAGTGCAGTACAAATAAGGAACTTACATTGAATCTGCACTATTATACTCATTTTCTAGGCTTTCCTCAACTCTCACTCTACTTAGAGTTCTGACATCAACTGCCTCATTCTACTAGCACCTTGACTGCTCAAGCCTTAAAACTTCTATTCCTGGACTGGTCTTGGCATACCAGGTGTCTAGCCCAGGAAGAGCTTTCTGACATTTCTGTAATGACACAGCTTGTCTCAAAGAGGGGATAAGTTTGTCAAAGGAGGGGATAATAGGCAAGGTAAGTACTTAATAGCTTGGAGAGGAAAGTGGGATCTTTAATTTCCTAAATAATATTTTTAAGAAATAAAATTCTGTATCTAATTAATAAATCCCAGTTTATTTTGTCTTTGTAGCTGATAGCAACCCATATAATGAAATTTATATGACACTGGTATTAAGCAAGGAGTTTCTGAGCAGCCGTATGTGGGCCAATGCCAGGTTGGTTAGCCACAGTTTTGTTGATTACATTGGAAAAGAGACAATGATTCCAAACGGATTTAAAGGACTTACTATATGCGCAGCATAAACAAGGTCACTGTAGCATTTGCTCTTCATGTTCCTAGAAGGACCATGGCTAGGATGAGACAAGTAAGGTGCTTCGAGCACAGTTTGAGTCACTTACTCTCAGGACAGTACAGCTGTCAACCCTGCTCTTGCAGAAATCTAAGGGCACAGCATTTAAGGAGGCACTCGCTCTGAGCCTCATATAAGAGTAGGGCTAGCATTTATATGACTCCCAGAATGAGTGCCTCCTTAAAATTTCCATTTGCCTCACTGTAATCCTGGCGCTGGTCCCTAGTCTTACAGGACAACACTGAACTGGGTGAACCAGATGACAAACAAGAGTGACAGGCTGTTCTCTTGGGGAACTGCCAATTCCACATAATACATAAATGGTTTTAAAGTCTGAAGATGGATCTGAGGTAGGAAGAAATAATATGGAAAATCAATGGCTCATTGATAATTAAAGAGGAGAATGAAAAGCAGACTTAGAAACTCTTAAGACAGCCCACCTTGTTGAATTCCTGGGAGGCTCAGGATGCAGTACCAAGACACAGGGCAGCCACACGTTATTCCTGCCTCCACAGCCTGTGTGGATAGTATGAGGTTACTAGAATACCAGGGTGAAGCTCTTTCCCTACAATGTATGTAACAATATAGGCTTAGGATCCTACAAAAATATTTTGTAATCCTACTTCTTAAAAACTATATGCTTATGGGTAGATTTGACCTTTTAGGTAAGAAAATAACTTATAAGACTGTTGGAAGATCAGAATATTTAAAGCACCTAAAGAGTTCCTGACATAAATGTTTAGTAATAGTAGCTATTAGCTACCAGATATAACTGAATTTGCTATGTAACATAACTAAATGCATTTCAAAACTAGTTAAAAATATTTGAATGCTTTAATAAAGCAAATAACATTATTGTATTAATAATCTGAACTTTCTAGAAAATCAGTGATTATTCTATGTGATGTTCCCTTTTGTTATCCATACCAAAAGACATTTGTCAAAGATTTCAGCTTTATTTTGTAAAAGGTAAAATATTCAACAACCATCAAAAAGATTGAGTTGCTTTTCATTATGTTTGAGTTCCTCAAAGGATTTCTTTATTTCATCTGTTAATTTTACGTGTAAATGCTTGCTTGCACATATGTGCTCATCATTTACACCTGACAATTTTCTTTCTGCATCAATGATCGATATGTCATGTTAACTTGGGCATCTGCACATGTAGGGTATTCTTTTTCAACTTGTTCTCAAAATAGAGCATAAGCTCAACAATTGCTTAAAATTAAATGAGTAAGTAGAATATGACTATACATCCGTGCTCTGTTTAGAGCCTTGTTTTAGCACAATTTAAAACCATAATCATCAATGGTTCTTTGCATTCATCTTTTCAATTTTGCTTACGCTTTATTTTTCTCAGGACTATGACTATCATGAAATGCTTAAAATTGTAGAAATCTGAGAATTTAGTCTCAACTTACTGATGAGAGCAAGAGATCTTTATGATAGAGCTTTTAAAAATATGATAAAATGCGCTGCTAACTTACCGAAATATGTTTTCTCTGAATCAGTTTCTCCATTGTCTCTCTCATAAACATCCAGAATTTTATTAATGTATTTAATATACCTACATATTGTTAGTACAGTTTATATTCCCGCATACATATAAATTTAACTCAAAATATATTTGCCATTACTTTTGTTCATTTAAAAAGTACTTGCAGATTACTTTTCATATGAATAGACTTTTTTTTTTTTGTCATGACCAAACAGCCTTTAACCTGATATTTCAACCTCTTTGCTCCTTAATGTTGTCAGCTTATTTCACAAAGTTCCAAAATATTTTTAATATTACATTTTATCTTTGGATCCTAAAGGAATGTTAATTTTGTTTGCCAATTTTATTTATACAAATAGCTTATGCTTTACTTTTATTATATAAGAACAAAGCATGCTTAGATGGCTTCATTGTAATGTTGAAGAATACTGTGGGTTTGAATGATTTAGGTGAGTTGATGATGTTGTGCTTAGTGTAGGCCTAAAGAATTTCAGTCGATTGTAATTGTATTTTAAATACTCAGTGGAGACATATTTAGGTAGATCTTTTATTTTTTGAGAGCCAGCAACTTATCTCAAAGTTAGAGACAGGTAGAACATTTAGTTTCAAACAGTGTTTAAATGATAACATTGAATACTCTGACAAAAAATCTTCTAGAATCTATGTGGCCTTAATTCTCTGGTAGGCTCCTTCAAGAGTTGAAGCAGTTTTTATAGCCTGGTAGCTAAAATGGGGAAGTAGTAGTTCCTCAAAGGGATGCTGCATAGGGAAAAACTAATACATACAATGAATGCATTACAAAGAAGACAATGATTTTCCTGGCAAATACTTCTTGTGGTTGTCTTATCATTTGTGGTCCTTAATAAAATATGCATGTAAAAATTCATTACCCATTGAGTTCCTGTTCAAAGTCAACATCTTCTGATGGAAACTTTCATCCTATTATCCCTTTCTTTAATGTTCCCTTCCTATGCTTATTTAAGTCTCATGATTCTTGTTAGAATTCTCTCTTTTTTTTAAAAAAAGGATTTATTTATTTATGCTTGCAGAAGTGGGGTACAGGTCAGAGGTGTAGGGGCGGTGAGAGGATTCACAGAGACAGAGTGGGGAGCAAAACAGGCCGACTGACAAGTACACTGCTGAGGGGAGCAGCAGGCAGTCAGGAGAGGTCTGTGGCGCCTTGTGGGTCATCTCCAGGATGGGGATCAAACACATACTGAAGTGGCTTTAGCTTCTTAGTGCTGTGCTTCCACTGCGCCACCAGGGAGGGCCCAGAATTCTCATTTTTAAGGGACAAGGAAAATAATGATGTGATTACGTCCCAAATGAATTTGTAATATTTCTCCTCTTAATGAACGATACTAAAATGTTGGCTATTTCTCTAATCATAGGTATTTATATTTCCCCAACTTCAATATTAACTCAGTTCTCTTTTATTTTTAATTTTTTATTGCACTATATTCCCCACATTCCTCATCCCTCCCTATTTTTTTCAGATAGAAGCAAAGGGATGAGAAATGGCCAGCCTCATGAGAAAGTCTTTAGCAAAAACTGTTACTCTTCATTGTAGCCCTCAACTCTTCCCTAATGTCTTTTGATTACAGTTTCTTTCTTTCTTTTTTTTATTATATACATAGGTTATTTAATAACATAGATTATTTTACTTAAAAACGTATAATTTCAGTTTTTGAAAAAGTCATATGACTAGCAGTCCTATAGATGATGAGACTAAGCTGTTTTAGACCCCATATCCGGGGTTTAAGCTATTGTCAGTGTCACCCATTTCTCCATTTATGACACCTTTGAACAACAATAGACATTATTCTGGATGATCTGTGGTTGCTGCTTCCAGAGAGATGTTGATTTTTTTTTTTAAAGATTTATTTATTTGTGCGTACAGAACTGGGGTACAGGCCAGAGGCTAAGGGGCGGTGAGAGGCTTCACCAGAGACAGAGTGGGGAACAGAACAGGCAGATCGACGAAGTACACTGCTGAGGGGAGCAGCGGGCGGGTCAGGAGAGGTCTGCCACACCATGTGGTCACCTCCGGGGCAGGCGGGAATCGAACTCATTCGGAAGCGGCTTTAGATTCTCAGTGCTGTGCTTTAACCCGCTGCGCCACCAGGGAGGGCCGAGATGTTGATTTTTATAAATTAGCAATAGGCTGATCTATTCTTATCACTTTATATGCTCATCTACCTTGCATAGGAATAGAGGAGACCATATATAGTCAACCCTCTTGCAGGTTAAACGTTTTCCATGGGATTAATATTATTGAAGATATAAAATTGCCGTTTCATTACCTTTTCTTTTTTGTTCTCTCCTCATTTCAACTCTTTAGAGAACACAACATCTGCTTTCCCACCTAAGTTGTTTTCTTTGTGTATTTCAAGAATAATTACTTTGTTCATACATATTTCTCTTGAGATTGCACAGAGTTGGAGGGAATATCTAGATTTCTAGATAAAAGCTATCTGTATAGCAAAAATGACAAGTGCTCAAGATCATTCCTCCTCCCAAAAATGTAACTGGAGTGACCTAATTTGTAGCTAAAGAAAATATTACATGGTGGGACTGGGGATTTCTCCATGCTGTTGAGTAGTATTTTACAACAAAACCTCTCCCCTTTTCAGGATATCGAATCCCTAGGAGGACTGACTGGTTCTAAGGGGGCTGATCCACCGGTAAGTTAGATTCTTCATTGAATTTAGCTATTGACTAATTGAATTATGGACACACCAGATCATCAGACATGTACTTGTATGTCATTTATCATGTATGTTACCTTTTGAAATATATAGCTAATGCAGTTACTAGTAGGAAAGTATAACTTTCTTTGAAGTGTTGTTTGATGTTCTAATAGCTCATGAAATTAATTGCATGCATTGATACTAAAAGTAGAAATTAAACCTCCATTAGAATATATAAACAGTTTATGTTTTATTATGAGATACACAAAAATTATAAAATTTGGAGCCTGAGACTACTATTCTGAGTTATGGTTGTAGGATATAGGTTAGGCTACAGCATATTTATTGAGAAAATTATTTTTTCAGCCCATTTTATCAACAGTATTGCTTCTTAGTTTTATTTCTTTAATCAGGTATCTTCTGGAAAATTAGAAAAAGTGTTCTAACATTTAAATGCTTATCATTTTAAATGCATGAAAAGAAAGAGAAAAAGGTGTGGTCCTCTAGTATTGGAACATCTTAGTCCTTCCTGTGATATCTAATTTCCGAAAACACTAATATTCTGTGATTTTATGCTTGAGGTACAAACATGAGGCCATACTGTTTATCTAAAATATTAAGGCTCAATTTATTTTAACAACTAGTCAATGTATAAATGTTTATCCCTGTTTGCTTTTCACTTAGCTCTGAGATTTAATATGAAGTACCCAGAATCCAATGTTACCAGTTTTTAGCTACACTTTATCTAGTCATCTAGGTGAAGTACTTAGTTACATTAAAACACCACTTTCAATTATAATTTTTGTCTCCTGCCTCACTCTCATGAAGTTCATACTGCTTAACCTCATTAATTGTACCTTACATAGGCTAAATGGTCTATTGTAGCTCATCCTTTTATGTTTACTTTCTGAGTTTATGTGGGGAAATTTTTTTTTTTGTCTTCTACTGCTTATATTTATCACCTACACCTATTGTATTACAGCATAAGGCCAGCTAGTATACTATGACAGGATTTATGGCCAGTTCCATCAGTAGGTGACAGCTTCTATTATATACTTTCTCCCAGTTGTCATATGTGGTGTTTGTATATAATGTTCAACATTTTTTAGGAATATAAATCCATTTCCTTCCAAATGTTTCCCTCACCTCTTCACTGATTACTAAAAGAGTTCTACAATTAAAGGTTTGTTAATTTTAAAAGGATTTGTCTTGTATTTAAATTAAAAATTAATAGCCCTCTTCTGCAAGTGGTGATAAATCCTTACATATTGTTTATGGTTAAAATAGTTTATCATTTCTTCTTAAGAGTGCATGTTTCTAAACATGGAAAATTGAAAGAGAATCTAACCTACTTGTTGAACAAAGGAAAGGTCACAGGAAGGAAAGATGATATTCTGAAGGGAAATTTTGTCAACTTCATTTCCAGTTGCTAAGTGTACTGTATGTGCCTTGACTTGGGGGGGGATTTATGATACATAAAGAAGAGGTTATTTCTTCGTCATTCTTTCCCATGATGATGGATGTTTTATATTGCTACCTACATTTTCTGGAATTCAGTGGTTGTGCTTACTTTTCATAGTGGGAAATATTCTGTGAATTTAAGTATTCATAAGAGCTGAGGAAATCTGGGGGTTGCCAGTACACATAAATGTAGTGTCTCCCTATTTTGCAAAGCTATCTGAACATATTATTAGGAACTGTAGAGTAAGATAATTTTCAGTCCTCTATAAAGTATGAAAGTTAAATGATAATAGTATCTGGGGATAACTCAGTCATTTAAAAGTAAGACTTTGAATGAAACTATTGCTTTGCCCCAACAGTAGAAAATAAAAATTCATATTAAATTATATATAATAGAAAGCTATTTGAAGGTTTTGTTATTTTTCTTTTCTTTAAAAAATGTCCCTGGAGTAGATCATCTAAATACTATTTTTTCAACTTATGATTTTTATATAATGTTTAAAATGACCACTAAACCCATTCTATCATGAAATTTTAATTTGTAAGAAATTCAGGGTTCTGTAATTTTTTACATATTGAACAGAATATATGAAATGCTAATGAGTGGTCACTCATAAGGGTGCTTAACTGTGAAGTATCTTCTTTACTAGTATAATAGAAATCTCAGATATATCTTTTAAATTTTAATTGTATTTAAAAAAATACAATTATTTTGTGTGACTGACATAAGTTATTTTTACATGTATTACACATATGTAATAATTTTGTATTTATTAGTACCAAACCATTAGAAAAAAGCAAAGTATGTTATTTCAGATAGTAAAAATGTATTAAAAGGTTGGCCCAATTTGAAATGCAATCATAAATATATTTGCATATCTGATAAGAGTATCTGAAGAACTATGGGAACACAGTTTATATTAATATCATTAATAACAGATGTTAAATGGGTTTATAAAAATTCTAGTATTCTCCCTTTCACTGCTAATCATGAAATAGAGACTTCCGCATTAAGGATTTTCAGGACAGTTCAAGAAGTTTGATAATGGCTTTCTCTGAAAAGTATTTCAAGAAGCATATTTTTTAATTCAGAAGCTCAAAATTAATTGCTGAAGCAAATGGAACTTGCAGATTTTTCTAATCCTAATGTTTTCTTAGAAAATAAACTCACGATTGAGAAAAATATTACCTTTACTAACTCAAAACTTTCTTTGATTCAGAGATCAATACAATGGGCATATAATGTACATAACAAAATTAATGCACTGATTAATCTCCAGTATAAAAACACAAATAGATCATTTTTTTTAAGATTTATTTATTTGTTCATACAGAACTGGGGTACAGGCCAGAGGCTAAGGGGCGGTGAGAGGATTCACCAGAGATAGAGTGGGGAGCAGAACAGGCAGATCGACGAAGTACACTGCTGAGGGGAGCAGCGGGCGGGTCAGGAGAGGTCTGCCTCGCCATGTGGTCACCTCTGGGGCAGGCGGGAATCGAACTCATGCTGAAGTGGCCTCAACTTCTCAGTGCTGTGCTTTAACCCGTTGTGCCACCAGGGAGGGCCACAAATAGATCATTTTTACATATGAAACTAGGAAAGAAAATAGTTAGAACCTGAAGAATAAAGTAGTATTATTATGTTAGATAGTGATTTTTAAGGTACCATTTGCCTTAGTGTTTTAAATTTTAGATAGTAACACTGTAAAAATGTGAGAAATGTGTGAAATATAAGGTGTCAGGTGTGCCCCAGGTAATCAAGTGGTTAGACAAGCATTAAAAAGGCCAGGGCAAGGCCTTAGCATCTTAGCTTCAGTCACAAGGATTTCTGGTAATGAGGAACTGAGGTACTGAGGTACGAAGCACTTACACTGCTCTAATTGCTGTAACTGGTACTGGAGAACTGTGGCAATTCAGTTCTCTCTGTGGAACCATCTTGAATGCCTGAAGCAGTGACAGAGAGATGTGCTGGAGCCAGGTTTTCGCTCACATCACGCCTGTTAGATTAGATAGTGTCCCTATTGATACTTAAAAGGATTGAGAAATCCTTTTACTAGGTGTAAATTCAGAGGTGGGATTAAATTGCTCACCTCAGTCACAAAGTTACAAACCAAAAGCTTGTACTTCTATTCTTTAGTGATACAGACTCAAACAGATGACATCGCACAGTGAGAGGAGTTCTCTTTGTAATTTGGTTTAAGAGAAGTTCTGGTTACTAGCTGGCTGTTATTTTTATTTCTTAATCCTTTTACATGTCAATGTGGACAACATCTAAACAGGTATGATTTGGGCCAAACCTTACACTGCATGAGACACATTGCTGAACATGCAGAACTGGTCTCCTGTGAAAATATGGCAATATTTAGAGTCAGTTAAGAACTTACAGTGAATATGGGGTGATTCTGCATCTTCCTTGCTTTTCTTTGTGTTTGCAACCTTGATCAATACATTTGCTTCTTCCACAACCTAGTGCCTTTAATTGTTTTACGTTCCCTTTATCCAAATGCTAATGGTTCTTTTTATTTCTAGACTGCAATGAGTTAGGGAATACCCATTTAATCCATTTCTTTTGGGATTCATATACTTACTGCCCTGTACACTCTCCAGTTCTGTTCATTTTCCCCCCACTGAGAAATCAGAATTGTACATTTCAGATTTTTTTTTTAAAGATTTATTTATTTGTGCATACAGAACTGGGGTACAGGCCAGAGGCTAAGGGGCGGTGAGAGGCTTCACCAGAGACAGAGCGGGGAACAGAACTGGCAGATCAACGAAGTACACTGCTGAGGGGAGCAGCGGGCGGGTCAGGAGAGGTCTGCCTCGCCATGTGGTCACCTCCGGGGCAGGCGGGAATCGAACTCATGCGAAGCGGCTTTAGATTCTCAGTGCTGTGCTTTAACCCGCTGCGCCACCAGGGAGGGCCACATTTCAGATTTTTGTACTTTCTGTTCCCATTTAAATGGTCTTTCTGATGGCTTTAGCAATTTGGTAAACATTCCAGAGAATTCAAAACAAATTCAATGTCCTGAGGGTGCTATTTAGACCTGCTTATATATTTTTCACATTACACATGGTCTTAAAATTTTAAAATCCCCAAAATATATTTCTATTTTTATTATCCAAAAATGTCACTCACTTGCTTTGAAAGATAAGAGGAACAGAATGTAAATCAAAATTGTAAATTAATTTAATTTCTTTCAACCTGAAACTCATACTGTAATATTACTTACTTTGAACCTCCTTATTTGTTCAGAATTCAGTCTGGATATTTGAGTATAAACTATGTGCTAGATATTTGATCAGATTTTAGAAATGCAGTGGTAAACAATGTAGTTTCTCATTTCAGAATCTTACAATATAGTTTAGTATACAGGTTAGAAAACAATTATGAGATAAGCATAGGATGAAATAAAAGCAAGAGGATCATATAAACCAATTAGTAGAAATGAAGTATTAAATCCTCAGGGAACGCTCTAACTAACTTCATGTACAATTAAGTTGGAGCTAGCCAAGCGAGGATGGTAAGGTATGGT